TCAGCAGGGATGCTTACCATCACCAAATGGGGTTTCGGGACGGCTGTGGCACCAACCCGATTCCATGAGAAAAGGTACACTGTTTTGCCTTCCAAGACGTTGAGACTCAGTCGAAGAAGGGGCTTTGTGTACAGTGCGTCCCATTGGAGGCAATGACAGTACGTCGAGGTCGGCACAACAAACTCTGAAGTTTTAGGCTTCGTGGAAGGAAGTGACAGCCGTTAGGCCCTATTGACCCTAATTTGAAGGGTCAACCCCAACCGCGGGTCAACTCGAACCCCAGAACGAACCTGAAGCTCTGCTCGGCACAAGCCTTGTGTTTAAAACACTGGAAGGTTTGGGTGAGTCAGCGATACTTGATGCCGACAATCTCGACTCAGATGCCCCTCGCTTCACTGAAGAGCTTCTTTCTTTGGTTTAGGGCTGAGGGTTGCGAGTTTTTTGGCTCCGGTGGTTATGAGTCCACTGGATGGTATGGGCCGTGCAGGGTCAGCTTCCCTATTCTGAGCATGACTTCAAGGTCAAGTCAACCCCCTGATTTGCATCGGGTCTGACCCAAGTGTGGAACGGTGTAGAAAGTCACATGTTCGATATCCGATTTGAGAAAACCCGTGATCAACATCTCCAGAAATACTACCCCAACTATGATGTCAGTAAGGTCCTTGTGCTGGGGGGAAGTCTTTCGAAGCAGGGGGATTACAGTCCTTTGCATCAAGGGCGGGAGGGAGACAGTTTGAGCTTTCAGTGGATCCGGGTACTCCGCGGAGCTTTGACATGTATGTTGACATTCAGTGAATAAACCACATGTATGTGCAATATCTACTTCGTTCCAAAGGCAATGTGAAAAATGTGAAGATGATGGAGAACACGAGAAGTATGAGTACAGAGCATGCGTGGTCTGAACAACTGCTTGACCAGACAATAATCAAACCGCAACACTCTGAAGCCCGATGTAAAGCGGAAACCTCAACCCATTCTCCTGTCAGAAATAGTCAGGCACCGGCATAATCCTTTTGCATACTGATTTTATCAGTGTGAAATTCGCCTCGTTGCGCTGGCCAGCGCCGAGGAAAGACATGAGGGACCCCGGTACCCCAAGTCAAAACAACCCGTATAATGATATAAGAGCATGAATACTGCGTAGTGCTATGCACTACACGTTAGGGTTCCGTAATATGGTTAGCCCCGCCCTATAGACGACGAATTATTCAGGCCCCTACGTAAACCTTAGGCCCCAAGACCGAATCTGTTTCTTTTTTGTACGTTTCAATTGTGTGCAAGTAGGCTCGCAAACAAAACCTGCGCAGGGGCTTGGAGATCGGATTTTGAGGCGTTGTGCGCAGCGATTCAGGGCTTTGTCGGGTTTAAAGTAGGATTTTCCCCACAATGCACCCTAAGCAATCTCTGAGCCGCCCAAAGGCCCTGAAGATTCAAAGCCAAAAGACCTTTGTAGGTGAGAACTGGTGAACGAAGATATGGAACAAGATCAACACCATTAAGTATTAGTTTTAACAGAAAGAGTAAGAATAGCATCAGTAAGGATCACAGCAGCAAGAGTAGTATCAATTGCAGCAGCAGAACAAGAGTAGTGATAGTAGGAGCAGCTGCAGCAATACTTCTGCCAAAGGACAGTGAGCACTGGGAAGGCAGCACGACCGGTGCGAAGGAAGAGCCAGTGGTGGGAGCCTCAAGGTGGATTTGTTGGAGTTGGAGAGGGGTTGTGACTTCTCAAGGGGTTCTTACTACTTGTGGTTTCCAGGTCTCTGTGTGTGTGTGTGCCTGACTTTGTTTTAAGATCTTGTATTTATCAAGCCCCGATACATAAACGTTGTGGCTCATGGGCCAATTTGGGATGTCCCATCAACCTCCCGGCCCCATAGTAGCTCAAAGCCTTACTTTTCTTTCCTACCAGTAGAAGAGGTTTTATCGGCATTTTGTCAGGGTCTAAGGAAAAGTTTTGGGACGTTGATAAAAGGTCTTTCACACGGGTGTTACGGGGTTTTACAAGGGTCTTATGTTGTTCAATGGAGTTTTGAGGTTTAGGTTGCTCGGCCGGAGTGGCGAGATTAATACGACTTAGATTTTACTGGTAGCGCCCCTGTGTGCAACTCAAGATGATGTTTCTTTGCTACTTCGTTTGGGATGGGGATGCTAATCCCAGACCTGCCCCGATGAAAACGGACTGCAATCCTCAACGCGGGATCGGGGTGAACCTCACCGCCTCCGTTATGAGATGCTTGCTGCAGTAGTGCCTGCTGCAGCGTGTGACCTGTGAGGGCTAAGAAGGGTAAGGCAGCTCTTCATGCAAACGTGGTCCGCTGTGTGACCCGCTAGGCCTTCTGTCGCCGTCTGGCGGCTCGCATTTGGGAGCTCAGCGGTACCTGCGATGCCTTGCTTGTTAGCTGCTTGTATGGCATCCGTGTTTCATTTAGCTCCTGTTTGCCAGGTATGTTCAGATTGCATTCGTATTGGTCGACCGATGTCCTGCATGATGCGTGCCCGCACATGACGTTTCGCAGCGTGCGGCTCACTCGTGCTGCGAAGCGGAACTTGCAGTATCAGAGGGACTTTGATGGGAATGTGCCTCTTTTTCGCCACTTAGGCACCACCTGCCACTTTGGTTTTCACAATATCCACACGATGCGCCATGCTATTTCTAATTTCTCTGCATTAATTCCGACGACACTGTTACTTCTTCTGGCCCCGAGACGGTCCAGAACATGAAGCAGCGAATGATTCAGTCTCACATGCACGTCCTTGCACTTTCTGAGGTCAGGCTCCCGGCAGTGGCTCCGCGGGATGGCTTTCTGCTTGTTTACGTTGGCAGCCCAGGTGATGGCTCTTTGGGCGGCGTGGCTATTCTGCTGTCACCGTCTGCTGCGCGGTCCTGGCGCTAAGCACTGTGGGATTCCGGGCATCTACTACGCATCTCCTTGCACTGCCCAGAGGGCTTGTGGCACATCGGTTCGGCATACGGGCCCACCGAGCAACAAGACAACTCCGTCAAGGACCAGTTTTACCAAGATCTTCGCGCATTTTAGCATGACTTGCCGGCACGTGAGCCTACTTTTCTCTTAGGCGACATGAATAGTCGTGTGGGTGCGCGTGGTGCGGATGACTCCGAGGCCCCTGCCTCGGTGTTGGGTCCCCACGGACTCGGTGCTCGCAACGGCAACGGCCCCCGCTTGCTGCAGCATGCTTCCGAGGTTGGCTTGCACCTTCTACGCCCATGATCTTCAGCACACTGCCTCGTGATACCATGCGCGTTGGCATACGCCTGGTCTTCTTGACCTCGCGCTGTGCCGCCAAACAGACTCTGCTTTCGTCACAGACGTGCAGGCTTTGCCTCATGCTGAAACGGACAGTGACCACGCACCGTATCATGTTGCTCACTCTCGCGCTCGGCCTGTGCCCGGCTGTGCGCCTGGCCCTACTGCCCCTCATCCCTCCCCTGCACTTGTGCGACCGCGCCCGCTTGCTGTGCATAAGCTTCGCGAGCCGGTGTCCGGACGCCAATTCTGTGCGCAACTCTCTCGCAGCTTGCAGGCTGATCCCGACGGTGAGTTGACTCCTTCGCTCAGCACATGCGTACAGCTGGTGTGCAGACTCTCGGCCTTGCTGAGTCTGCAGTCTCTACTTGGCGCACTGGGCATGAGGATGAGCTTCGCCAACTTGCCTTGGCTAGCCAAACTGCTTACGAGGCCACTGTCCGCTCGCCGCATGATGCCCATGCGGCCCAGCACCTCCACAATCGTGCAGTGGTGCGGCGCCTCAAGACTGCTTGGTGGCATGAGCAGGCTGGGAACTTGCTACGGGCTGCAGATGCTCATGATGCTGTCTCTTTTCGGGGATGCTAGGCGTTTGGGTAGGTGGTTTTCGTCTCACAAGGCCTGTGCAAGCGGCCCTTATGTGCCGATCGTGCTGCGGAAGCCCGCAAGTTTGCTGACCGTGTTGAATCAGTTTTGAATGTCGATCGTCCAACCGACCCCGCTGCCTGGCGAGCTATCCCTGCCCAGAACTACAAGGCTCCCTTGCCTGCTGGTTTGTGGGACCCGTCTCTCCTTGAGGAGTTTACCGCCTCGATTCGTAGGCTTGCCCGCGGAAAAGCCCCCGACTTGACGGGCAACCATGCTGAACTATTTCATGCGCTCTTGGATGCTGGCGCTGCGGGCCAGGCACCTCTAACGCATCTGCACTGCTTAGTCTGTGAGTTCTGGCGCGACCGCCTGCCCTCTGCCAAGAGATGGCGCCGCTCTGGAGTGCTTGTGCCGATTTTCAAACACAAGGGCGATTTTTCCGATCTCAACAATCATAGGGGTATTGTCCTTTTAGATGTGCTCTCTAAGCTTGTGTGTCGGGTTCTGAACGATCGCTTCTCTTGTCGGTGGTCGCGGAGGCTACTTGCTCCGAGACTGAGGTTGGGTTCCGCAAAGGTCGCAGCGTCACAGATGCTGTCTTCTCTTTTCGCCGACTTCTTGAAACTTGGCATTTCACCAAGCCTGCTGGGCCCGCGCCCGCGGGCGCTGCTAGCACGGATGGTTCGCTTTACCTTCTCTTTGTTGATTTGACTAAGGCGTTTGATTCTGTCAACCACGACCAGCTTTGGGGGCTGTAACCAACTTGCTGTTCCTGCGCATGTTGTCGACATGCTCCAGCAGATTCATGATCGTATGAGCACCCATGTACTGCACGCTGGTTCTGTTGGTCGCGAAGTCCCTATGCGCACCGGAGTTCGCCAAGGCTCCATCGAAGGGCCTACCTTGTATCTCTTGTTCTACACAGTGGTCCTTCAGGAATGGCACTCTCGATGCTCCCGTGCGGGTGCGCAGCCGCCTGGTGTGCCCTGGGTTGCTACTCGCGACGGCACACTGCGCATACCCTCCCGCACCCGCGTTGCCTGTCGTGATACCCTTCATCTCCTCGACTTGGAATACGCTGACGACACTGTCATGGTCGATTGCTCATGGGACCGTTTCGTCACTTGTGCCAAGCTGTTGGATTCAGTCCTCACTGACTTCGGCGTAGAAATGAGACTTGTCAAAAACGGAGTGGATGAAAGGGCCAGCCCAACGCCTGGTCATACGCGGTCAGGTTGTCCCCCTCACAGTGCAGTTTAAGGTACTTGGGCTCACTGATTGCTGCGGATGCTTCCATAGGTGTTGACGCAGACGTGCGGCGCCACATTGAGGCTTAGCCTGGGCCGCTTTTGGGTATCTTAAGCATGTTTGGCGCAGCCATCACATCGGCATTAAAACCAATCCCACTTGCTTCGCAGTTGCGTGCTCAGCGCTTTGCTGTTTGGTTGTGGGAGCTGGACCCTTCGCTCCCACCACTTGCGCTCACTCACCAGCACTTGGTTAGGTTTAGTTAGGGGTATCCTGGGTCTTTCTTGGCAGCAGCAACGTGACGGGCGTTTGTCTGCATCCGATGCCTCCCGGTTGCAGCATTCCTTTCTCCATGCTGTTTGGCTCGCTTCCTGGCCATGTCTGCCCTCCCGCCTCCGTCGTTGGTGCACAGAAGCGTTTCTTTACCTCCAGTGCTCGGCTGGTGCTTCAGGCCATGCCCACGGTTGATGAGGCCCGCACAGCCCACGACCGTGCCGCCTGGCGTCGCTGTGTCTGCCATCAAAATTGATCCTCCCACACGCCGTGTTCCTGTCCGTGCCGTTTCCGTGTCTTCTAGGACCGCTGTCGCCGCCCAAGCTGCTTGCTGGCCGCGATCCACTACCCTGTCCTACTTGCCGGTTTCGTGCTCGCAATGCTCAGGGTCATATGAACCACATTAACCACAGAAGCATCCGGTTGAGCCGTCCTCCTGGACTTGCGAACACTGCGGTAAGGTCTATCGTCACAAGGGATATTTTATCTTGCATACACAGTCGTGCCCGGCCGCTCCGGCCCCTCCTCCCCCGCCTGCCCCTGCGGGCCCTCCACGTGCTGCGGCTCGCACCGCTGCTCAGCGCAACTTCACCTGTTCCTTCCCTCAGTTTGGCCTACCTTTGTGAGTGGCTCGCAGCAGCGTCGCCACGAGCGTGAGCAGTGCTTGCATCGCCCCGGCAGCGGGGCCATTGTCTCCCCCAGTGGTGAGCTGGTTCTGCCTTGTCCTGTATGTCAGGAACCTGGACGTCTACTCGTGCTCTCGGCCTGAGTAAAATTCATTAGCGCCTTGCTTTCACGTTTGCATTCGGCTTGTCTTTGTCTTTCAGGCACATTTCCCATCTTTCGCTGACAGTTTTGCCAAGGGTTGTCCTGTCTTACAGCTGCTCGGCACTCTCGAGTCGATTTGCCTTCCCTCGCTTGTGGCATGGTTGTAATAGGATTGGGTTCTTAGTTCACCTCCACTTCCTTTCCTTTCGCCCCACCGGCCCGGTTTCCTCGTTTCTGCCATGTTTTCCACGGGTGCCTCGTATCTGGGAAGGCCGGCCTCGCCTCTTGAGGGCTGGGAGGTCCTCCCCGGATCTGGCCCGACAGACCTTTCATGGCCTGCGGAGGTGTGCTGCTGCCGCGGCCTTTTCGGTTCAGGCTTTTAGTCGGTTGTCTCGGGTATTTGTCGCTAGCGTGTTGTACAGCTCTGTGCCTTGCCATAGCCCTCTTTCTCCATGGACAGCTCGTGTCAAAGCCCCGTGCATAAGAAGTCCAAGGCTGCCAAGCCTACCGAGTCGTCGTCAAGTGAGCCGTTGCCGAAGCCCGCTGGTTGGGCAGAGGTCACTGCGCTGAGTAACCTCGACCCCGCCCGTGGCTTCCTCGTTCATGATGCTCAGCTGCGCCACCTGCATGCATCCTGCACACTTGTGTTTAAATATGACATCGAGTGTGCCTTCTCCGTTGATGTTGGGTGCTGTGTGCACCTGGCAAGACAAGCACCGACCTGGGCGCCCGCACCCTTTCGGTGCCTGCAGCACTGCATTGGCTTGTGTTTTGCTTCGCACTGTCATCTTTGATGCTGAGAAAGATAATTGGGAGCATAAGGCGCTAGGCAAGTTTGTCACCCCTTGGCTTGAAGGGGCGGAGGACATGTCTACCATTGCCCGTGAGGTCAGCTTGTGCGCTGCTCGCGCTTCTGCCAAAAAAGACTCATCTTATCCTGGAGTTTAGGCCGCATCTTGCCTGTGTTTTGACCCCCGTGCTGCCGACTATTGCACAGCTGCTCATGTCCCAAGGCGGCGAACGCTTGGATGTGCGCCCGCATGGTGGCTTGGCTCGTAATAAGGCCAGAGGCTACTGAGGCCTGAGACTAACCGTGCATGGGGGAGCTCTGTCAACAGTTTATGCTCCCTGCCTATTTGAGAATTCGTTTGTCATCAGGATGCTCTGTCAACAGTTTTCATCCTGCTTTTGCCTGAACTCATGCAAGTTATTTTTCGTGCTGGGCCTCTTCAAGGGATGGCCGACCTTTCTGTACCTTCGCAATGCCTTTACCTCTGGCGACGTCATGCTCGGACACGGGCGACGACGTACACCTCCTCCTTTTCCTGACACCTGAATCCGCTAAAGAAATAGGCTCAGCGTTTCAAAACCAGCTGTAAGCTGAACTCAGCTTCCGTGATGTGGGTGTTGCATAGAAGTCATATGCAGAGTTTTGCAAGGGTTTTGTGGGGTGTGTAAAGTTCGGAGTCCCGTGTTAGGGCTCAGACCCCTATACTGGATCCAAAACCCTTTAAGCTTTAGGCCCGATCGAAGCCCTAAATTCCTAAACCTGAAGCTTAAACCCAACGCCCAAATACCTACTTTTTTTATAACTCAAATTAGGACCCTAAACCTTAAACCCTAAACCCTAAAATACCCTCTGTTCCGAAACTCCCATGCGGCTTCGACCCGCTTCCTGAGGCATCCGACGGGGCAGAGGCCTCTTCATCGAAAGAGCTTCGGGGCTTGGGACGTTCGGGTTACTTGGAGGTTGAGGGATTTCTGTACTTGGCGGTTTCAGGGTTTTTGGGCTTTTCCCTGTTATCAGGGTTGATAGGTAGTTTGGGTTCTGCTGGGATGGGCTTTCTGAGATCACAGTGCCACACTAGAGGAGTTCAGAGGGGTGTCCTTTGTGCGTCTGAGGATTCAAGGGGTGTAAGTGTTGAGGCTGCAGCTCAGGGAAGGCCGGCGGCTGCCACACTGAACATGCCGGCTGCAGCTTGGTTTTCGAGGTGTACGCTTTTCTGGATTTCGAGTGGCTTCCATGCATGACTGCAGAGAAAAACCTACAAGAACCGAGAAAACGTGCATCTTTGTGCCCATGGAACACTCGAGGGCGTCAAGTCGTGGTCACTACGGCTGGTGCTCCAAAATAGCATGTCAGAGCTGAGCTGGGTCCTTGCTCGATTTGTTTGGAGCATGCCCCGAGAACTGAGAACTGCAATCGTCAACACTTCATGGCGTAAACGAAGTTCCAGATGCGAACTTTGCAAACATGAAGATCTACGCAATCGTGAAGAATCCGCTTCCTGCTGTGGACATGGAGAAAGCCACCTTACAGGCCTTGCCCTGCCGAGTTCCGACGGCACAGTGCTACTGATCAGAAGTCGAGGAGGCGGATTTTCGCGAATCGGGCCCTGGCAGAAACGAGGTTACCTTACGCCTTGCATGTCGCATTTTTCAGGAAAGACATCCTCACTGCCACTTCACGAAAGCGCGCCGCCTTTCGAGATGGTAGACCAAACGGCGCTGGACCACTGTCCACACTACAGCAAACTGTGCTTTAAGTTGCCCCTTTAGTATGCCTAAACAACCCTGCCAATTCTTTTGCCAGGCCAAAGCAGGAAGTTTGAGACTTTAGGGTCAGACTTTCGAGCTTTGGGCTTCATGTTGCAAATCGAGAGTTGCAGGTCCAGGGCTTCAGAGTTCAATCTTGTTTTTTGCTTCGGGCTTTATGTTTGGAACTTAGGGCTCACATATACTTTAGAGTTCAGCCTTGGGTTTCTGGATTTAGGTGTCTCTATAAGCCATGTTCTCCCAACGCAACGAATGCCTTAACTGATACAACGCAGACAGCCTGTCATCCTATAGACATAAACCATCCATCTCAAGTCAATCCAACACCCTATAAACGCCAAACCCGAACGCAAACCCAGGCACCCTACACACTAACAACCCAAACCCCTGTTCAACGCCTTACGTGCCTGCATGACTGTCTCGAAGCTCTGACACCATTAAGCCCCCCAAATCAAAGACCCCGAAAAGAATCCCTAAAGGCTTTTTTCAAGTTTGTGTGTATACATATATGTGCATGTATACATACATACATACATACATACATACATACATACATATATATATATATATGCTCGCCCCCCCCCCCCCCCCCCC